TGGCGGGGAGGGGCGGCGGGAGGAAGCGGCGGGAGTCGCGACTGCGGCGCAGCCGCCCCCAGAGCGCCCCCTAATGAACGCGCGGCGGCGCCCGGCCCGCTCGCCGCGCCGCCCGCGCCCCCGACCCGGTGCGCCCGCGGGTCGGGCCCTCGGGGCCGCCCGGACGCTAGGCCGGGACCTCAGGGAGCCCCGAGCCGAGGCCAAGGCTCGGAGAGGTCGAGGGGTGAGCGCAGCCTTCACACCACACAGCAGTCCTGGGTTCGCGCTGAGAGCCTCTCTTCAGACAAAACAGCCCCTTTTCATTGTTAGAGCTCTCGTCTCTGCCCAAACTGGAAGCTGCCTCCTTGAAGACTGAATGTCCTTTTTTCATTCTTAATGAAACCCCCTTGCACCCATGGCTTTTCTTCTGAACCTCTCCAGAGTGTTCGTGTCTAGAGTTTGAAATCAATTCTTGTTTCTGGAAAGCGTCTGGAACGTTAATGACAACTCCACTTTCCCATTCATTCCCCTCCCATACCCTCGCCCCAAAAGGGGAATCCAGTGGGAATGAATGGTCTACAACACAGAGACTGACGTTTAGTCAAGAAGCAAAAAACATTTCGCCAAGTGCCTGGCATTGAATACGAACTCAAAAAACGGTGACCATAGGAACTCCTAAACACGCGGTCACTCGGGATGCTCCAGCTGCATTCTAGTCAGAGTCTAGACTCTGAAGGAAAATACAGAAACAGCCCTCTGATATGTCCCCTTGAACATTCCCAGATGACCTACCTTAATGTTAGTTTTTAAAAACCCAGCGTATGAGACTTTATGTCCCTCCGTCGCATTTGTAAATGGTGGGTAGGGCCGATTTTGCATTCCCTAGGAAACTGCCATATTTGAGTCAGAATGTCACGTATTCTGCCTACTTTGAAAATATTCATTTACTGCATATTTGCTTTGGACTTTCAATTCTTTCTAACTTCAGTTCTTCTTTGGTTCACAGGTGAAGGAAAAAAAACTCACCTTAGGCCATGTGAAAGAATATTTTCTGAAGCCGATACCATGGTGCCCATGCCTGTAGTCCCAGCTATTAAGAAGGCCAAGGTGGGAGGATAGCTTGAGAGGAGTTGCAGACCTATCTGGGCAACATTGCGAGACCCTGTCTTCAAAATATATATATATATATATATATATATATATATTTTCTGTGCCCATTCCCTCATGGCGATGAGGAAATAAATAAAAACACAGAGTCTGTCTGAAATATGTATTAGATTCTTTTCCATTTATGATTAGTTTATTTTTATCTACATATGTTACTTATCTATTTCACTAATATTATATTTTAACTGTACAGGGCATAAGAGGACATAGGCCATCTCAGGGAAGTTTCCATATATGCTATACATATTAGAAAATTAGAAATGCCTTTTCTATTCCATACATTCCCTCTGTTAATTTAGGTGCCAAGATCTTTAAGTAAATCTCATGAGAGAAATAATATATGTACTATAGATGATTGTTCAAAATATGCCATTATATATTAAGCAACATAGGTGATACACATATTTGCTTCCAGAATCAAGAGTAAACTCTAAGGATTTAATTCAGTCCATCCCATTCAGCTTTGCCACATACTGGGTAAACACTGGCTGACACCTACAGAAAAGTGACCTACAATGGGATTTACACGATCCTCTTGGATCACAGAACAGCTGCCAGAGCACCAGATACACCAGTACTTGATGAGGTGTAATTAGTACCAGGCTCAGAATTCATTTTCAGGCCAAGAAAAAAGGTTGGTCAGAACCACAGAGAGTAGGTCTCAAGCATTAGTGTGCAAACATATCACTTGAGGTGTTTACCAAAGAGACAGATTCTTAGGCCTCATATGACAACATTTAATACTCTAGGTTCAGAGGAACCTACCATTTATTTATTTACTTATTTATTGGCTTGGAGTCTCACTCTGTCACCCAGGCTGGAGTGCAGTGGCATTCTCATGGCCACTACAGCTGAGTTCAGGTGATCCTGCCACCTCAGCCTTCCAAGTAGCCTGAACTACAGGTATGTACCACCATGTCTGGCTAATTTTTTGATTTATTGTAGAGATGAGGTCTCACTATGTTGCCAAGGCTGGTCTTGAACCCATGGATTCGGCAGTTCTCTGGCTTCTGCCTCCCTAACTGCTGGGATTATAGGCGTGAACCACCATGCACAGCTGGAACCTACTTTTTAAAAAGTATCATAGGTGATTTTGATACAGGTAGTATGCAAACCTTGCTTTAAGAAACCCTGACCTAGAGGTATCCTAAGATGATCACAACCTTTTCTAGACTCTTCATAATTTTCAATCATTTGATCATATCTGTTCTCATCCATATTCATCTGCTAGGACTGCCATAACAAAATACTGCAGACTGGGTGGTTTAAACCATAAAAACTAACTTTCTCACAGTTCTAAAGGCCAAAGTCAGAGATCAAGGTGTCAGCAGGTTTGGTTTTTTCCAAGGCCTGTCTCCTCTCACTGAATGTTCACATGGTCATTTCTCTGGGTATGCACTTGTCTGGTGTGTGTGTAGGTGTGTGTATGTCTCTGTTTCTCTCTGTACTGATCTCTTCTTATAAGGACACCAGTCAGATTGGATTTAGGGCCCGTCCTAATGACCTCATTTTAGTTTATTTACCTCTTTAAAGGCCCTATGTCCCACATACAGCCACATTCTGAGATACTGGGGGTTAGGACTTCGATATATGAATTTTGGACGCTCACAATTCAGCCACAACATCATCCTTTTTACACTGCCAGATTTGCCATTTCAGTAACTCTTTGTGGGAAGGATATGGAAGTCCTAAGGTCCTTGAACACTTTTAGGTATTCTATTGACTGACTCCTATCTCATTAGACTTTTCTCAAACCTCAACAAACAGTACAACATATCTATACTTTGTGTTCCAGGTATAGATAGGTCCTAGTTTTATGTCAAGGATGTAGAAGTAGAATATCTTAACTTTCTGACAACAGCAGCACATTTGTTTGCAAGATAATTCAGTGCCTATAATGGATAAGAAACTGTGGGTTGACTTCTTTAGGGAACAATTTCAGGTGATTCTTGGTTTATTTCTTGTATTTCAAAGTTCACTTTAGTTATACACTTAATACCTTCTCTCACCTTACATGTAATACCTTCCTCTTGCCTATACTACAACTTTTTTACCTGGCCTCCTTTCAACCACTTAGGCAACCTCCTAAGGTTTATCTGTAGCTTATTTTCACTGAGCAGAGATGTATAAATACTTGAAAACTATTACAGGAAAGTCGGGACAGTCAGTTCTTCTGTAGAAAGCAAGGACTTCGTTCAATGACTAATTAGCTTCCAGTCCCCTATTCTGCCACCTTAGAGTCATCTTGTTCAAAACACAAATGTGAGTCAAGAATTTCAGAAGCTTCATGTACACCCAACAGGGAAAAAGAGGGAAACAGACCCCACCCTCTAACGACAGTCTTTATAGTTTCTGTTTCAAAAGCCCAAATTTGAACCACAAAAGGATGGTCCTTTGAGAGAGAAAGAAGACTGCTCACATTTCCTGGAATCTCCAGACATTGAAAGCAATCTAACCACAACACCTTAGAAGGTTTCATTCCATCCATCTGGTCCACATACACACAACAAATTAGGTTACAATCAGGGAGGGCCCCCTTGGGCAGAAGAATCCCCTGGGCCCTCTCTTTTTCCTTGTGGCAATTATAAAAACATCTCACCTATCTGTGTGGTTTTCTGCACTTAAGCTCCAATGAACTATTTCCTCTCTAGGGGAACACCCTACCACCAGTTTTGCAGATATACAATGACTTGGTACAGACTCTCCCTGACAACACCTCACTAGGAAACAGTTGCAACCTTGAAATCAGCACCACAGAGTCATGCATTCTGACTGTTGTCAGCTTTAACTTCAAACAAAAAAGGGAAATATATGGATGTTTTCTTCTATGTTAGTGTAATTAATCATTTAATATAAAATGTACTAAGGCTTATAACCTTAAAATTGTTTAGGCAAGGTGGATCAAATCATCCAGACTTGACTGCAACACTCTTTTTTTGTTTTTGTTTTTTTTTTTAGTTAGAGTCTCATTCTGTCCCCCAAGCTGGAGTGCTGCAACACTTTTTTTTTTTTTTTTTTTTTGAGTTAGAGTCTCACTCTGTCCTCCAGGCTGTAGTGCAATGG